ACACCTAAGCAAGGTTAGAAATGAAGTCTACGCTAGATGAGGAGACTCAATATTATACATGAAGAAGTGAATTTCAGTGCGAATATGAATCCTCTTCTCCAAAGCATCGTTGGCCCAGTTGTAATCAGTCCAGTAATAAGCCCTTCGAAACTGGCACTCCTCAAAAAAATCTTTGTTAAAGGATAAAGGCAAAAGGATAGTGATTTTGGACCCCATTGAGATAACCTATAAAGATTAAAATGGTAACCATGAGTACCAAACAAATAAATTGTGTTTTGTAATATTTAACTGGAATTAATTAATTTTGGTCCTTAAATTCAAGTCCCAATAAGACCAGATTATTCGCTTTACTCTCCTCTAACGAGTTTTTACTTAGGAATTTGCTGGTTGTGCGAGAGACCTAGTCTTGGTAATCGAGCCAGCAAGTAGTGTCTATACACTTATACTGATGTAAATAATTGACAATTCGGATAAAATCGTAGTTCTACCAAAATATGAAATTAGGAAGTTTCGTGGCCCTCATGATGCAATTGTACCAGCAGACAGGCTCGGATATGTTTAAGGTATAAGATGAGGAAATTCAAAGATAACAGAGATGTAATAATTTTCTACTAAAAAAAGCATTAAGTTATCCTATTTCATTATAATTATCATTCTACCAGAATAAACAATAAAGTTTCTGAATTCCGGTTAGAGATTCCTCAGCTTAAAATATTAATGAAAATCGTTGTTTAGACCCTATTAAATGTGGGGGGCTGGCGAGTAAATGAAGTCATGCAAAAAAGTTAATGCAATCATCCAGTTAAGTAAAGGTGCCTTCCAAGCGCAATCAAAATTAAATTTTCATAGTTTATAAAATTAAATATGAAACTTTCGGCATTAATGTCATTATAATTAGAAACACTACAGATTTACCATATGGTATAACAAACTTTAACTACCTAAGCTACAATATAAAATAGACATTAACTTATGAATAAGGGTAATTCTAAACAAGATCGCTCTTAATTTTGCGGATTCGACAAGGGGTACTTTTATCTGAAAGTCAAAATCTACATGATAAATCAAAAATAAGCCATCATTTATGACCATATCTATTCATATATCAATGATAACAATGCATTTTACATTTAAGATGATCACATTTATCTCATATTCATTACACTTTGAATTATTATCGTTTGTATAATTCATTCATAGTTTTGACCACAGCGCAACTCTGAACATTGCACCTCGAAATGTGCTTAGAAATATTCTGTCGAGTTAAAGACAACATGAAGGCAAAATGCAGTTCGCCAATTCGTTTCAGGAACAACGAGTATTAGTTCATACGCAATCTCTTACTCAAATGGATACATTAGGTGGCAGACAAAGAATCCATAGGCATTCAAAAGCCAAAGACAATAGGTCAGTCAAATTTTACTATAGGATGGGATTAAATAGGTAGCTATTTTCTGAGTTATATTATTCTTACAGTATTCGAGTAAAGAATAACCCAAACTTGCGTACATTGTTTCCATTTAAATCTAATAATGTTTCTGCAATTTTTAAAATGCAAGAAACTTAAATTTTATAATAGATAGTGGCGACCACGGATTCAGAGGGAAAAGTTTGATAAGAGGGTCATATAACGGTCAGACCAGAGGGTTTGCTATTTTCTATAAGAATCAATAGTAGAAATGCAAATGCAAGCTGAGGTATGACCTACTCGTAATTTTTGAATCAGCCACCATGCATATTGGCTGTTTCTCGGATGTTTTCTTCGCTTAATGCTTCTTGAGAGGCGTGATGCGTGTCTGTCCACCTGAAAAACTTCTCTGCATTTGATCGTCGTTTTTTCGCTCATTTGTTTATTTCCTTTAGTATGGTCCTGGATTCGCCTTTTTGTTTCTTTGTTAGCTTGTATTTTTGCCGAAATTAGAGCTTCATTTGCTCCTTGACCTGATAGCGATAGAACAGAAATGAGAAAAGAAGATTATAAGCTTATAGCAGTGATAATTCGGTGAAAACTATTAGGCACGTTAATTTTTTAAATTACCGGTAGCGAAATCATTGTTAACTCTAGATTTTTCTTCCACATTTTCGACACTTCCCTCATTAGAGCTGCTACAACAATCGTCATTACTGCTTATGCTGTTGCCATTACTGCCTTGACCACTGCTGCTACAGCTACTATTGATGGTGGTGCCAAGAGAACCTATTGGGGTTTTATCCATGCATAAAGTCATTCCAGAGGAAGAATCACGACTGTCAGTAAAGAAACGAATAGGACTCTCTCTTGCGGAAGAACAAGGGCGAAAGCTGCGTCGAAATTGGTTACCCTGAAATAGGGTGGAGTCAGCTGCAGAGAAGTTCGTGACACAAGCCAAATTGTAGTACAGATGTTCAAGTACCCGTGAACGAAGTCTATTCGAGACAGTACAGTCAGGATGACGAAGACAAAGCTAATAATGGGATAATTTGTATAAACCAGAAAGATAATTTATTTGGTCCTTAGATCGTTATGGCTCAGTACTTATTGGTAAAAGGAGTAATCTCTTAGCATTTCATAAATCTAGCTGACAAGGAAACAATGGCTTTCAAGAAAATAAAAATTAAGACGAATAAATACCAATAAAAGAGAATGGGGAAACCTTACTACATAAAAATATTAAATAAAATACAATAATTTCTTCAATATCTTTTATCATAATTGCTATGTAGAAACCTTAATATTCATAGGGACCTTGATTATATCTATTTCGGTACAAAGGGGAACTCTTCCACTGGCGATGCCTACACAGATTCAGTTTCAGTTTTGAAATATAACCCATAAACAGCTGGAATATCATGACAGAAGAATACGAAGAAGTATGGAGAGTTTTCATTGAATTCTCTCTGAAAACACGCATAAGTCGCAAATATGACGCCAAATAAACTCAAGGAGCCATTCAATCGAATACCTACTCTAACAATGTTAGTAAACAACCGAAAAATTGATGATTATAATCGCGAGAAAATAGATAAAGCCAAATGCAACTTACACCAACATGGTTTAGTTTGTTTATACAATTTCCAGATTTGAGCATCTGATAATTAGGCTTAATGTGATCAATTTAAGAAGTAAGTCTATATAATTAGTTTAATCGAAGGTATGAAGACCAGGATGACGTGACTTTTTGTGTAGTCGCGATCTCTTAAGTTGTATAGAAGTTGTTTGACCTTGCTTTCGCAACTTGGTCATATTGGAAGGAAGAATGAGAGGAGCGCACCTGGTCCGGAGCAGAAGGTATGCATGATAATTTCCATAGTCGGATCGTGTACTTTGTACATTTCCAGACATTTTGCCTGTATCGTAGTCAGTAGCGTGATTGAGTTTTGCTATTCTCAGAACCAAGTTACAATTCGTCGCAGAGACAAATGAAGACAATACTTTGACCAGCATTCTATCGAAACGGTTTTGTTAGCATCCCTCGTTCTGTCCTGGCCACTTTATCTATTTTCTACCCTTTTGTCTCGCCTTCGTCCTATCACAACTTCTGACATGCTTATATTCCACAAAAGATGTGCCCTGTTGGCGAATTTAGTGAGGTGTCATCACACTTGCTGCTTGCTTTGCTCCCTTACCTTCCTAGTCTCTGATCCGACTAGAGCCTCCTGTCCGGATCTGCCCCGTATGTCCATGCTTGCGGATATTGGGCATTTCCTTCACGCATTATCTTCTTGATTAAACCCGTGTATCCTGAGCAAACTGTGGGCATCTATCTCTGGTCACCTGCTGCATATCAAGTGGATTATTAGTCAATTTGGTCATAATGCCCAATTTCTGTGACCCAATCCCTCGCCCTAGTCACGTGAAACTTCGAGCCCCCAGAATTCTAGTTGTATATTCGAGCTGACCTTATTCAATGAGAACGTCTTCGCTTCATTTCCGAAACTCTCTTAACCTCTTCTTCATTGCGATCCCTTTTACTCTGATTTACGATAGATCCTCGCGCCAGGCGCCTCCTTTTTGCTTGCCTTATTGTATTTCCGTTTTCTCCGAGTTTGATTGGACAATAGGCAAAGTTATTACTAACTCTGCCATTTTCTAATCTCTGCTTATTAGATTTTTTCCCCAAGGATGTAAATAGACCCCTACTCTTACTTTTATTTCTGTTCTCACCGATGTGTTCCGCTAAATACAATCTTTCAGTATCCATTTATATGCAGAGACTGGACACCAGATCAATTGTAAAGCAATATAAAGAAGGTCATCATACGGTGAAGGCACAAAGAAAAGGAAGATTAGGAAGGCTATTGAAAACATTTGGGGAAAAATTTAATGAATAGCAAATTAGAAGAGGGCGGGTTAGTGATAACTTTGCCTATTGCCCAATAAAACTCAGAGAAAACGTGAATACAAGACAAGCAAAAAGGAGACGCCGGCTCAAGGCTCTATCGTAAACCAGAGTAAAAGGGATCGCAATGAAGAAGAGAGTGATAAAGTTTCGGAAATGAAGCGATGACATTTTCGGTGAATGTGGTCAGCTTGGATAAACAACTACAACTTTGGGGGCCTGAAGTCTCACATGGCTAGGGGGAGGGATTGGGTCACAGAAACTGGGCATTATGACCAAATTCACTAATAATCCACTTGATATGCAGCGTTCGACCAGAGATAGATGTCTACAGTTTGCTTAGGGTACATGGGTTTAATCAAGGAGATGATACGCGAAGTTAATGTCTAATATCTGCAAGGATCGGAATCAGAGCCTGGGTGCTCTGCCGATGAGGCGAATTAGTACGTGCCACTCAAGACTTGAGAAATAACACCTAGAGTAAACTACACTGGGGCAGAAGCCATGAGGCAGATCCGGACAGGAAGCTCTAGTCGGATTAGCCGCTTTAAAGGGAGGTGAGTAATGCAAACAGCAGAAATGATGACGCCACGGAAAATCCACCAAAAAGGCACATCTATTGTGAAATATAAACATGTCAGATGTTGTGATAGGACGAGGGCGAGACAAGACGGTAGGAAATGAATAGATGGACCAGGACAGAATGAGGAGTGATAGCACAACCGTCTCGACAGAAATTAAGTCAAGGGATTGATTTCACATGTCTCTTTGACGAGTTGAAGCTTAGTGCAGAGAATTACAAGATTCCCTGACGATACCGGTGAAATTTCTTGGGATGTACCAAGTCCACAGTCCGACTCTGAAAATTATCACGCATATTATGGACTCCGGATGAGTTTCATTCTTCTAGGTCTTCCTGCCAATATGATCAGGTTGCGAAAGCAAGGTCAAACAACTTCTATCTAATCATAATTGCTTAAAAGGGAAAAATAAGAGCAAATGCATAAGAATCTAACGATATTTATCTCTATAATTATAACTTAAGTAAGTAGCAATAATTTTACCACGCAAAGGCAACAAACCCAAAATATATGAAAGACAAGATCTAAACTATGGCATATTGACCAAGAGCTAATAAGCACCAAAGCCATTTTGTGGCAGTTATAGCTCTAGCATCTATGTAAAAGAATTGGGCTAGTCAAATTTCTAGGATATTATTTGCGCATTGGAGTAGAGTTTCGAGACTACCAGTAAATCAGTAATATGAGAGCTATTCACCCTATTTCGTTTAAGGTGATGAAGGACTGGTAGTAGAATTTTCCTACAATGATATGAGTAGAGCTGACATTTCCATTGAATTTCACATAGCCTTGCTTTCCCAAAAGTTGTTCTCATCCAGGGTGAATCATGATCTTGATCATGACTTGGACGCCTCAGTCTTATTAATGCCATCTAGTGTAAAAACAAATACAAGCTTACACTATTAACAACATTCTCACCATAAATATTAATTAAGAGAGGCCTGCCTTGTTTTAAAAATCATATTTAATTTGTGAGCTAAAGGAACTCGAGGCTATGTGGTGGAATTCTGAAGTTGCCAGTCAACAACACTAGATTTTAAATTCACAGTTGGATGTTAATAAGACCCAGGTTAGAGACAAATATGAATTTTTTTAAACTTTCATGATACAAGCCTAATCTAATAGAATAATTAGTACCACTTGGTTTAGGGAAAATAAATATCGAGCTTTCCATCAGCTTATGTTTTCTTTATAAGACTATCTAGTACAAAACTATAACTTTAAACCTAAAGACAAAACAGTAACCGCAGAATCGATGACTTATTACTGCGATTAGGATATAAAGTATAACAGAGAAGTTGAACGCGAAAAAGCGGATTAATTTCCTTTATAAGTGAAAACCTTCTCTAATAAATGACTGAAAGCCCGACAGAATGCAGGCCATGTCGTTACAGGCTCATCTCGAGGTCAAAGTTAGACACGATTTAAAGAAGTAAACTAATCGACTTGACTATGGAGCAAGCAAAGTCAAGTCAGACGAGAGTATAACTATGACTATTGTGTGACGGCATTATACACACAGCATAGCTGTTTATTTAAGTTTTACCGCTTAAAGATTAAATTCAAAAAGTTAGAAGTACAATTTTAAATGGTAGGGCTAGCTAATTAATCTGGTTAGTTGATGATTGTGGTTATGTGCAATAAAGTAAGAATATGGAATCAATCAAAGGAATTAGTATGGCTAAAATCACGTGCTGCGCTATCTTACAACGCGAAACAAACCCATTACAGTTAAAATACTATATAGATAGATAAATTCATCCATAAACGGAACCACAATTACAATTTGATGGGCTTACTCTGAAGAACAGCATGGGCAAGCGTAGTCGCTACCAGACAAGACAAATTAGAGACATATTTTTTGACAATAAGGATGAAAACTGAATCTACACACAGACCACCCAAAATTAAATAAGCATAAAAAGAAACTACTTTAAGCAAACAGATAAACAGAAGAGATGCATCATGTAGGTATGAAGATGAAGTTTCA